GCCTAATTCTCAAGTTGAACTGAGTTGGCTCCAATTGGCTTTGTTATTGATGAAATGATCAGTTTCATCTGCGGGTTGTATCTGTAAAAGTGGTCGTAATTACAACTCTTTCTTAGTCGCCTGACTTTAAACCTCCATAACTCGTTACTCAATTAATAGGTTACTTCTAGAGAACTTTCTACTAATTCTCAAGAAGCTATTCTACCAGATTGACAATTATTCCCTCAGTCGGCAACCCTTGGTTGCTTTGAGTAACATGATTTCAATCACTGTTGTAGTATGGGAAGTTGTCTTTGTAACTATAATGAGTTCCGAAACCTGGTTGCAACACTCTGTGAAGTCTAATAACTTCTATAGTAGTGTTTCTCAGAGTTCTAAACTCTTCTGAATATTGTAGGGTAGGTGTGAATGCATTGGTCACTTGCTAAGATCCTTTACCATTCAATATTATCTCTTTGTGCATAAACGTCCCATTACTTACAGTCTATACTGCAGGTGTCACCTCTTTGAAGCCTAGTGACTTTCTGGATATTTGATAGATTTACTCCGTTCTACTTCTCAGACCTAGCTGAAGGTCCCCTCTCATATACCTTACGAACAGGATCTGGTTGGACGGACGGTGGCAATGTATACAGTATTATCCTGACACCTTCAGTTTTGTGGTATTATAGTTACAGGACGCGGCTGAGATTGATATGTATGATGACGTGCTGGCCCTATAAGGGAGCCAGAGGGGGGTGTTGGAGACCAGAGATTCCGATTCCGGGTGAGGTTACCCTACTTAAGGTAACTCCTAGGTATCGGATTCTGGTATTTCTAATGTGAACACTAGGAGAGTACTGCATTCGTGGTGTGAATATATTAGCCATGTAGGCACCAAAGAGGAAGGAAGAGAGAGGTGAGCTCTGCGGTATCCCTTTACGGACAATATACACCGGGGACATTCAACTTTTAAACCGAAGGTGTATTGACCAGCTAGACGTTCACCTCCGAATCCATTAACACAAGTTTAGGGGACACTCTTGGGTTACCAAATAATCTGACAGGAGGTGGACATTAATATTATAAAATCTGCCTTTGACGTCCGTCAACAGGATCAGCCATTTATAGCCTTCGTTATGTTATAGGAATT